CTACTACTTAAAGGTCTAAAGCAGTTTTCCAACCTAGGGGGTTGTCCCTGCTTGGAAGCCTCAAGCCAGTGAATTGGAGGGAAGGTTAAAGCATGATCCCATATCTGTATTTCTTCCCCAGTGTAAATGTGTTCCTATGGTTTTGGATAAAGCAGTAGCTGGCTCCTTGAAAAATCACTCTCCATGTGATTTGGCTCCCTCAGTGGCCCCTAAAGCTGCTGGCCAAAAAGAGCAGCTCACATGTACAAGACTACAGGCTCAGGCAGTAGGTCACAGAACCAAGCTTCAATCCTCTGCTCCAGTAGCATCCAACTAAGCTGCAAGAGCATGTGTTACCCATCCCCATGGAGTCACCCGTTGATGCCTCCACCTCAAGCAGTAGGTAGTCTACAGCTGCGTGAGGAACAGGAATCCAGAGCCACAAAATAGGACAGCACTTAAATAAAAGAATTAGAAGGGAAAATACAATAGAGGGAAAAAGAAGGAACAGAAAAAGGACAGAGAAAAAGGCAGGGAAAATGATGGTGGCAACAGTGTACCATAAGCACAATGTTACCCTCATCTGAATCACTCTCTAAGAAAGTATCCAGATTTTTACATATATTTTTCTGATTTGCTTTGCAGTTTATATATTGTTGGTCATCTTTTTCATCTGTTGGGTTTATGAAGGTATTTTCCATCCTTCCTAATATCTGGTAATTGTGTATTTGGATGCTATCACTGCTGCCATCACCCATTTTCTTAGAGTTGAGCATATCTTAGAGCTTCTGAATTGTCTGTGAGAAAGCTATGAAACCAGTCTTTTTTATGTCCCTTCAGAGAAGGACTAATTTTTGACAAATACCTTGCCAACCAGAAAAGTGGTTCTCGGGTTTTACGTCACTTGGACGTTCCTCCCAACTACCTCATATAACTAGAACTCTCCTCCTATGTAGCAAAATGGGTGGTCACAAGCCCAGGTTGAGAATCCCTGTTCTAGATCATGTTTGTATCTTTTTAGAGGGGAGGGGCAGTGTAAACAGTGGGACTGAGGTCTACTTTGTAGAGTTTCAACAGGTTTTCCATTAAGCCTTTCTATAACTTTAAAGTATGTGCACTTTAGGTGGTGTCTTCAAGTGGTTCTAGATACTTTTTGGTAGTTATTGCCGGTATTCTTTTATATCTAGGTGTGTATGAATTTAATGAGTATTGTCACAGGAGTGGGCACAGAACTGATTTTTTTCACCATTTGAATTTTTAGAAATGGATGCTGAGCTCCTACAAGGTGCTAGATTGACAAGACTGGACAGATATCTCGCGTAGTTGCAGAACACAGCAGCAGCAGCGCAAAATTCCTTATTCCACCAATTTGTCTCAAACTTTACCTGAAAGACCAACGCTTATGAAAACTGTTATTCGTCAGGCCAATCCAATACATTCTGAGAATGTGAACAGAAGTGTACATTTTTAATGTTTTTTTCTCGGGATATGGACTTTTTTTCCCCTCTAGTAACTGGACTGAAATTAATTGTTAATTAATTTCACGTAAACCTGGCTGACTTTTGTTCACTAGCATTTTAGCTTGGATTTAGACTAGTCGCCTATGTATCAAAGGTTTCTTATCCCTTACAGATTGTTATGGTTCTCCATTTCCCCAGAAAGCTAAATGTGTGTGTTCCATTCAATGGTGCTAACTTTATTTATTTTAGCAAGGGGAGAGTTAAAATTCAGCTTTAATATGCAAATAATTTATATTCAATAGTCACATGCTGAGGTCCTGAAATGGTGATCCAGGTGACATGACAGAAAATTTTAGAGGTCTCTTGAATCCTTTTACAGTACTATCTTTGCTAGAGCATCCTCAGCCAATAGACAAAAAGGGAACAAATAAACCTTTCCCTCATCTGAGTTTCTTTTTATTTTCTTCCCTCTATGTGGCAGCAGCGGGGAGTTAAGTGGCAAGTATAAAATATCCCCTTTCTTTGATACCCAGCTCCCTATTATGGCTAAGGTTAGGACTGCCCTGGAGTCTCCAGGAATTAACAATTAATCTTTCATTAAAGATTATGTCATGTGATGAAACCTCCAGGAATATGTCCAACCAAAATTGGCAACCCTAATTGTGGCCATGTGTTTTAGGCAGAGCAGGGCCACAGGCATTAATGATAATCTGAGGCAGAGCCTTCTCTCCACTAGCACACTTTGTCGCCATAATACACAATCTGGTAGGATTGTGGTAAAAATGCCTGAGTCATGTTTACATTGCAGCTTCTACTGCTGATTGTGAATACAAAGATAGCTAGTGTAGATGCAGCCTATAGGAGAGAGGCAAATTCATTGTATTAATGTATTTGAAAGAGGATCAACTCACAACTGGATGTCAGTGCAGAAACCCTGAGGTAGTGCTGTGGAACCTGGAACCTCACTTAGGAGTGAACCTGCAAGGTACTGAGTGCCTTCTGTTCAGAAGACATCAAGAAAAACTGATGGCATTCAAATTTGCCAAACCTGTCTTGTAAAACAAGAAACTTTGAGGGAGGTAAGCTCCCTCTCTCTTCAAGCCCTTAATCAGCATTGATTTAAAATGCTAAATCGAGAGGAATTTTAACACTGAACTTAATGTGAATTGAAATTCATATACATCTGTTTAAACACAGATTGGAATTTCTGTCAGACCACTACCAGTGAAAAGTTGACATTCTAATTAATACGAATAACTCTATCTTCCTATTACAAAAATATCCCTTATTTTAATAATTCAATCATCTACTGCAAAGAAAGGAATATAATAGCATATGTTTTTTTTTAAATCCCAGGAGAAATGAGGCTGTAGGATCACTACTGCTTTTCCGTGCTGTCCAATACATTGTTTACATAGACTGACAGTGTACATGCCATCAAGGTATATTCACAGACTGAAATTGTAGTGTATTATATACTCTAGTACTTCATGGTAGGATTTTGAAAAAAACCACTCTTACTTCATGAAAATGACCCCCCACCCCCACAAGGTGTAACATACTCTATGCCTCAGGAACACTCTGGTGATAGATTTTTAATGGCTTTAAAATAATCAAATGAAAGGATAGACAAAGGTATAAGGCTCAGTTGTGATCTCTCCTGTGCACCTTCACAGAGAAGTGAGGGGGTGTAAGGTGCCCACTCTCCTGTGGGGGCTATACATATTGGTGAATCCTGAAGGAGAAGAGCAGCCACCATGCAGCTGCTCCTGTCCATCCCACAGTGGTGGGTAGCGTATGTACAGGCAGGGATAGGGAGAGAGTAATTTTGGTTCCAGCTCCCACAGTGCACTGGAGCTGGGGCAGTCTTTCAAGTAATCTGTGCTAGTAAGAGGGCTGGTACGGAAGACTCCCCCCATTGAGCAAGAGGGAAATAGGAACTGAAAGTCACCGCCTCCTTTCTGCCCTGCTCTTGGGACACTGCAGCTATTTCCATCTAGCCCAGAGAAAGCCATCTTCCAGAGAGTTTAATGCAGTAGAGTAGGAGTGAACACACTGAAATGACCCAGGACTTTTAGGCGCCGATCCTGCAATGTGTGGTGCATGGTCAGATCCCTGCGCTTGCATGGGGCCAAAGTCTATGGGGCTTCATGTTAGCTCAAGGGAACCTTTGTAAAATACACAGCAGGACCAAACACTCTTTGGTGCAGGGACATTTACTGCATACATGCACAGTGCCTAGTACAATGTCTGTAGGCACTATTATGATGTAAATGATTAACATCAATAAAGAGCATGAAAAATATCAATTCATGCTTGAAAGCTGGAGATCAGAGAGTTTTAAAGTTGTGGTAGGGTCAGTTCAATTTTTTTTAACTGCTTAATTTAATGGTGGTCAGGCCGACCATTAAATTAACAGAAATAAACGAACAACAGAATTTACTGTATCAACGTATTGAAACTCACTGATTTCCAATGCTTTGAAATGGAAGGGCTTATTTATTTATTTATTTTTGCTCCTACTTTGCATTATCCAATTGGGCCGCATAAGAAGACTCATTAAAACGTTTAAAAACTATCTTGAAAATTAATTCTGCAACACACATACACATATTGTATTTAGTATTTATCCTGGAGAGCTCTGATATGCCCCTTAAATCACAAGAGTTTTCCTTTAAGGAGGCATTTTCATTATTATTTATATTGGGTTAGTAACAAAGGTCTGAATCAGGAATGGGACTCCATTACTCTATACAAACAGATAGGAAGAGATGGTCTCTGCCCCATATATTTGATAATAGTGTGAAAAATCTAAGCATGAGGTTTTCAGCATCTAAAATCTCATTTCATCTAACATGGTTGCTTTTCATATTTTACTACAATTCAACAACTGTAGTTGGTTTTCACCTGCTGGTAACCAGTACCAGCTGTTAGAAGTATTCAGTAAAAACCTCAAGAGGCTTATCCAATGCCCCTCAATCTATAATTCTTGCCTGTAATATATACACATCTTATTTTGCCAAGTGTTTTCTACTTCCACACAAGGGTTTTTTTTGTTTGTTTGTTTGTTTGTTTGTTTGCACAAGAGCAAGAATAGTGACAGTTACAGGATAAAAATGCACATCCGCTAAAATTATTGAAATGATAATTTCAAATATTTTATTTAAATCATTCTGTACTATGATTAAAAATGTGGCAGATAGTAAAAATTAATTAGAGCTTCATTAATACTGGCCAGAAGAAATATAATTTTACTTTTACCTTTTATTATTTCCTTTTCTTTCAGTCTGAGGATAATTTCTGAATTGCAATATAATTTTTTCTAATTCATTTTTGAAGAGATTTTTGCTACACTATGGTTACTAATGAATGTAGGAAATTTTGTTTTTCTTTTAGAAGGTGAATTTGTTGGAATTTTGAATAATAATACAATTTGCAACACTCTAAATACAGTATTAAAATATACGTGTTGACTAAAAATTAGAAAAAATAATCTACTAACAAAAAGCACAGCAGAACACTTCAATTACTTATAGCAATCACAATATAATCTTGTCCTACCAAGTGTGTCTCAAGGTACAATTTAAGGCTGTCTGTCTCTGCTTTAGGAGGAGTCCAATTCTCTGTCGTTTCCATGGCTTCATTTAACCAGTGAATGAATTCATCCAGCTTGCTTACAAACCCCTTACCAGATAAGAAAAAAGAAAGAACAAGAAAAACATATTTGTTAGTACAATGACAATCTGGAATAAGCATGCTCTTTATTTTTTTTTAAACCAGCAGAGCACTGGACAGTGAAATCTTGTCCTCAACAACCATGCAAAGAATGATAAAAATTGGTTGGTGGTCTTCTGATAAAGGAGGAGCAAGACTGTGCTCAATGTGTTTTGGGATAATCTAAGGTGGTCTCCTGGGACAGACCAGTGTAAAAAATTCATTAGATTGTGGTAGGGTGACCAGACAGCAAGTGTGAAAAATCGGGACAGGGGGTGGGGGGTAATAGGAGCCTATACAAGAAAAAGACCCCAAAATTGGGACTGTCCCTATAAAATCAGGACATCTGGTCACCCTAGTGTGGCGAGATGGAAAAACAATGGGGTTTTAAAAGTGAGGGGGATTTGTATGAGTGGCTGGGTGAGAGGCCTGGGTTATGATAAAAGATGGGTTGGAAGCCCCTATTCAGGCAACCAAATGTGGCAGCTGCATCACTTCTAGTGATATACAAGGCAGAATGTGCAGCATTTAATGCAAGGGCTGCTGGTCTTTTATCACAGGCACTATTAAATGATGCCCCTAACTTTACATGACTGGATGATGCTCTAAGGCCCATTCTGAGTGCAGATAACTCCACCAGAGTCTTCTGTTCAGCATGAGTCAAGGGAAGGTCGAGAGGGTAGCGTGGCCATGATGTTTTTATCAACTTAAAATAGATCTTAAGAGTATGTTCATCTAATATGACCATCCCAGAATTGCTTAAGATAATGCTACCACTGGTGTATTAGTTTTATTTTTATTCATTCATAGGTTTGTTTAGGATACTCAGGACTCTGCTATCTGAGCACCTCCCATAAATTAATTAAATTATGCCCTCAACAGCTCTGTGAGGTAACCAAAGTATCATTCTCATTTGTTCCCCTTTTGTATAAATAATTCAATATTCAGTGGAGCAGGGGACTAGAACCAAGGTCACTCTGCTCCCATGTGAATGCCTGGGTTCAAATGCCTATTCCAGGTGAATGCCCTAACCACTGGGCTAAAGGTTATAAGGGGCAGAGGGGCACTCCTCTAGCCCTTTAAAAATGCTTGGAAAAAAATCTTTCAGGTCCAGTAAAACAATTAGTTCACCCCCAAACAGATTTTTTTTATTTGCCAAAAGTTTTAAATTTTAACAAAAAAAATTCAGAACTACCACTGAACAGGGAGAAGAATACTACAAATCACATTACTGATTGCTTGTCACATCCTAGTGATGTTATCTCACAAACAAGGTGATTTGATATATACATACACAAAGGCAGACAGATATACATACACACACAAAATAAAGGTGCTCTCTTATACAGGCTTCATGTATTTTACTAATAAAGTAATATATTACACCTCCATAACAGAGTATTATGTTTTAGAAGAATTTTTCAAAAAATATTTCAAGATTTCAAGCATGTGATGCCAATACTCACTAGTACAAAAGGCAGCTCTCAATAGTGACTGTGCTTGTCCCTCAGAATATTTGTATTTTTTGATATTATGTATGGGAACCCTCCAGTACTAGCCTTCTAGATGTCAAATACTTTTTCTGCTATGCTATTTTTCTGCACATACTGCTATGAATGTGCCACATCTAATATGCCTGTATTTACCACATGGGGGGAGACAATCCACAACAGGTATATGACCTGAATCATTTGTGTTGTGGGGTAGGGAATGTTTGAAGGGTGTTTTGGGCCTGAATAAATATATAGATAATATCATGTAAAGCTATGAGGAGCCAGAATCTTTTTGTTTAAAAAAATATAAATATTCAAACAGTTTCATTATGGACATTAAAATCCCCACTAAAAATAAATGGGTCGGTGATGAGCACTGAGGAGACAGCTAAAGGAAAGGAGAGGCATGATGACAGAATGGGGAGATCTAACCCAGGCTACGTCTCTGTCAGAGAAATATTTTCTGCTACAAAACACAAATCACAATAATCCTACTATTTTTCAAACGATGGCTATAAAATTTTATTGAAACCATTCAAAGAACACATCTGTAGAAACTGAAAATAATTTAAAAAACTAAAAGCCTGACACTGAAAATGACTGTCAGAGGATAGATAACATTGTCCAGCTCCTGAATCTCAATGTCTGGGTAAACACCACCATCTGGAGGCCTAATGGAGCATTGTCAGTCCTACAAAATCTTAAGGAGGGAGCCCAATGCTGAATTGTAAGCATCTAAATTGGATTTTTAAATCTTACATCTGCACATTCAAATATGTGCCTTTTTTTGCAAATAAGTGCTAGGGAACATCAAAATGAAGATTTGGATGTCCCACAACTAAATTAAGACCACAATTTTACTTGACTTGTCATTTGAGTTCTGGTAAAATTAAAAGAAAAACCCATATAGTTAAACACATGACAATGGAAATGAAGACAATACATGCGAGCCTAGATCAGACAGGAGATTTCTTTTTCATATTTTCCATGTGTTTATCTCAAACTAAATTCAAGATTATGTTGAGGCACCATAATCCCTACTTCATTTGTCACAAACTAATGATCAAAAAGTTTTTCAAAAAATTTTCACAGTAGTGCCTAGGACTCCAACTTATTTATTTTAATAGCTTGATGCTAGTGGGCAAAGAGACACCTTTATCATCCCAATGCCAGCCTCATGACTCATGTCTGCCTGGAAGGCAGCTCCAGTGGAAATTGAAACCTATGCAAATACAGTCAACTGGATCAGGTCTGTTGCAAAAGACTAGACTACAACCCTGCTCTCGAAGCTGAACTTCTACTTCTTTTCAGAGAGACAAGGTGGGTGAGGAAATATCTTATCGGTGAGAGACAAGCTTTCGAGCTTACACAGAGCTCTTCTTCAGGTCTTCTCTTTGGCATTATTCCAAGGCCTGGCTACATACAAACTTTAAAACCAAAATCAGTATTTTCAAACAATATGCTGCTCCTTTATCACTTTAAGCACTGATGCACACATTTGGGTCTTGATTATTCCATCTGATAAGCAATAGCTGTTGCTACTTTAGGGCTAAAGCATACTTTTAGGCACAGCCTTGAGCAAAGGATAGTGCATAAACTTAACACCAGTCAATAGTTACCCTGCAAGACACTCCAAGTCACAACCTAGACCTTACTGAAGATGTGATTACCACTCTATTGACTGGCTAGAAGTAACAAAACATCCTATGTAGAATGATGAATTCCTAATGAATTTTGAAGATGTACAGTAAAAAACAAAAAGGGGCTATCTTCATGCAGTTTGTTTTGGATATTTCCTAAAATACATATATATTTTAAGAAATGTTTTAGACAAATTTGGGTCTAGGAAGTTCTAATATGGAGAAAGATTTGCCTCTTGATAAAAAAAAGTATTCTGCAACACTAGAAGAAAAACGTAATGCAACCCAGTCAGAAAATGAAATACAGGACTAATTACACCATGCAAAAGAATGGAATTTAGTGTGCAATCATGAACCCAGACTCAGGACTGATCAAGGAAACAAATAAATATTATAGGAAAGCAAAATATACACAATAATATTTTGCCCTGGTTTCTTCTCACTTCATGCCTCTAACAGAAATGGCTGTACATCCCTATCATTAATAATTTTTACCACTCTCGCTCTTTTGTATTTGTGGTTTACCTGTTTCTTTGTCTACACAGCTTTCTTAGACAATTTTAAGATAGAGAGAGCCTCAGCTGGTGTAAATCAGCTTCAGTTGCTTCAGTGGAGCAAGGCTGACCTATAATAACTATGTATCTAATCCAGACACTATGATGCCTATAATTAAACTATGATATGATATATCACAATGTTTTAGAATCTGAAAAGCCCAAAGTTACCTGCATTATAGCAAAAAAATTGCTATAAAAACAAGAACTCCTCAGGAGAGAGAAAAAAGGAGACCAGGAGGGAATTCCAGTGTAAACGGATCTCTCTCTGAGACCAGCTGCATCAGTTCTGTGATGTAACTGCTCCGTATTGTCCTCGTAAGCTAGCCACTGATTTTATTCCAGACCCCACCTGGTAATATTGTTACTATGCTATGTTTGGAAAAGTCAAATGCTACATAGTGGATATTTGGTAGCAACCTCCATAGCTAAGGATACAACGCAGTTTCCATGATGAACTTCTGTTTGAATGCAGTGATACATTTCTGAAATGTGCACCTATTGGGTTTTTCACATGATTACAGGTTGTGCGACTATGGAACATACATTTTCCTTTGTGTAAAAAAACCCCACAATGTTTTATTCACACTTTTTTAAAACAAAGCTACAGGAAAAATTGTTTAAATTTAAAACTTGGCATGGACATAGTATTCTCTGGGGATCTATAGCTATTTCATCTGGGTGGATAAGGATTCAAAATAAGAGAGCTGTAAGTATTGAAAAAAATCTAAGTGTGTTCAAGGTATCTGGTAGGCTTCTAGCAGAGCCTAGTAACAGTATTGCCAACCCCAATGGTTCAAAAACTCCCAAATCATGAGATTAGACTAAAATCCTGAACTTCTTTTTCAAGAACTGGTCTTTTTTCAATGCCCTCTAATGCCCCTGCCTATCTCAAGAGAGTGTGTGTAAAAACAACAAGTCAAACATTTGAATTGTGCAGAGAAATAGGCAGGCCCTGCCTCTCCCCACCCCCCTTTCCCACTGTTTAGAGTCTTTTCTGACGCCCTTTACACTTGCTTCCCAAATCCCTACCACTGCTGAGAGCCCTGCCAGGCACACCTGCTCCCTCACGCTCCTCCCCCATATCTGACTCCCCTTGGCAGATTCTTGCAGCCCTTCTAACTGCTGCCAGGCAGACTCCAGAAGCTGGTCAGCCCCCAATTCCTCCTTCTTTGCAGGCTCCAGAAGCTGCCTGCCATGTTTCCAGCCTAGAGAAGGCATGCCCTGGGCTTGGACCTCCATTAACTCCCCCTTCCAGGATTGTGGGAGATGGGCCAAGGCTG